TAAGGCCCAACAGTCACGCCTTGCTCGAAATTCTGAGGCCCCCATTTAAAGAACTAAAAGGCTTGCTAGTAACGCCCAGCGTATACGCATTATGCGGAATTTCGAAAGCACTGAGGACCGAGAGAACAGATTGATAGAGATTAGAGCTAGAAAAAAAAGCAAGAAAAAGTATTGATGGATTGATGGTATAGTGGATTCTATGACTGATGGTAATCAAGTATTCGCTGCTTTGGTTGGTCCATCATTGCATACGCGTCACTCTGAATCTTATTTTGCAAGTGCAATGTATAACCCAGTGAATCCAAATGTGAGCTTAATTACAGACTGTGATGGCAGAGTTGAAAATATTTTTCAAAATCAGCAAACAACAGGCAAATGGGTTTGTAATATTGAAATCTGCAATTTCGACAAGCAGGTTATATCGAATCGATTTAAGTCATTCATATCATCTTTCATCAATTTGACACCTTCAGACATAGGTCAATTCATCGAAATTGTTGATGTGTGCACAAATAATGGGGCTCATTATTCAAAGAATAAAAAGCCCTATTGCAAATGTAATGAGGAAAATTGCATGCACTCTATTTTCTTAAATATGAGAATGCTAAATTTGGGTCATTCATCTTTCTGCTATGAAAAAGAAGATAACTGTAACTCAGTTTTGTTGTTCTTGCGTCGAATATCTGTTCACTTTCCCTTTATTAGACAAGTAGTAAAATTATTGTATTCAATTCGACATGAGTTACGAAAAGCCAACAATTGAAAACTTCCTTGATTGTAGCAAATTTCGAAGAACTAAAAAATGTTGGCGCAGCTATAAATTTGAAAGCAAGGGGTTTTTCAGTCGAAACTTTTTCATTCAACGAGGAAAGTGAAATCTATGACAAATACCGAAATGCTTTTGAAGCTCTCAGAAATAAGGAAAGTGATTGGCCCATTCACTCATGTATTTCCTGTTTGAATTTGTGTACCAATTCCCAATTGCAGCAAATTTCACTTAATTTGCATGAAAAATATCCTATATTTATAGATCTATTAGAGCATTATGCAGACAATTTGTGGGTGTTTACTCACCGTATATGCAATTATTGCTTACAAAAATTTAAGAAAAACATCTTGCCACCCACTTGTTTCTTAAATAATTTACAATTTGATCCTATTCCTGAATGCATATCTTCACTAAATGAATTTGAGAAATTGTTTATCCATCGTGCCAAAGCTTTTCCAAGTGGTTGCACGAATGGACACTGTCATGGGCGGACATAATAAACGACGGCCGAACTCTGATGTAATTAAGAAAATTAAAGGAAGAGTTTTCCATTTGCCACTGCCCCTTGCAAATAGTTTAAATAAGCTTCCAAATCCAACGGAAGCCATTTTAAAAAATCAAGATCTCACTATAATTGTCCACGGGATTCCGAACGATAAGAAGCACATGTGGCAATCTATGGTAGATGTCAAAAAGATTTATATGGCCCTTAAATGGCTCAAAGAATATAATCCATTATACTCTGATATTGTTCTTCCTCATAATGTCGAAACACTGCTGGACCATGTTACAGTTGTAGTTGATAATATTTCTGAAACCACTTCAGGTTAAAATTTCCAGGACGATGTTCGAGATGATGTTGATGTTGGAAATGAAGTTGAAATGCATGTACCAAGTGAAAAGAAAATGCTGACACAAAAGGATGCTTGTGATGATTTTTATGAAAATATGTCTATATATCCGATAATGCAAACCGATGCGAATACTGAGTCTGCCACTGTGTATCAACTCTTGAAAGTAATTGATGAAAATATTAACAACCGTGATATGGCATTAGATCTGAAATGTTTTCCTGATATTTTCTGCACTGGTGGTAATGGTCAAAATCAGGAAAGAAGAATCACAGCGCACGGCAGTTCGCGCGAGTGACGAAAGCAGCCACAGTAGCATGCTGAAAGGACTCTCTTATATATACACGAGATTTGGAAGTTTTTATCCAGACGTCCAATCGACATGTTTGAGATATCGTTGGAAAGGTCTTGCAGAGTGTGTCCAGAAAATGTATTCAAGCTTCATAAACGATTAACCGGATTCTTAAAAATTAGGCTAAAGTGTTGCGAATCAAAACACGTTTTTTTTCTTTTGCCGGTTTAAGGGGGCGTGTGGGTACACCCAACATAT